ATGGATTTGGTTCAGACAGGGCTCTTGGCCGCTGTGATCCTGGGGCAGGTGGATGGGGGATCTGATGAGAGGCTGAAGCTGGACCAGTGATACCCTTCGATTGCCTTCAGTTCCTCCCAGCTTTCATCTTTTTTTAAAAAAAAAAAAAAGATTTTTATTTTCATTACAAAGTCAGATATACAGAGAGGAGGAGAGACAGAGAGGAAGATCTTCCATCTGATGATTCACTCCCCAAGTGAGTGCAATGGCCAGTGCTGCTCCGATCTGAAGCCAGGAACCAAGAAACCCTCCAAGTCCCCCATCTGATGCAGGGTCCTAAGGCTCCCAGCCAACCTTGACTGCATTCCCAGGCCACAAGCAGGGAGCTAGATGAAAAGTGGAGCTGCTGGGATTAGAACCGGCACCCACATGGGATCTCGGCGTGTTCACGGTGAGGACTTTAGCTGTTAGGCCACTGTGCCGGTTCCCCAGCTTTCATCTTGAGGAGATGTTGCCTTGGCACCTGCAGGCACCATGGCTTGTCTCCCAAGTCCAGACATGGAGTCCAGAAGCAGATGGAAGGCTGTGTGCTTGCAGTGCCCTCGGGTGACCAAGAGGGGGTTAACATTTGGTTTTCTTTTCCTTTTTTTAAAGATTTCTTTATTTTTATTGGAAAGGCAGATCCACACTGAGGAGAGAGAGAAAGATCTTCCATCCACCGATTCATTCCCCAAAAGGCCCCAATGGCAATAGCAGAGCTGATCCAAAGCCAGGAACTTTCTCAATTTTTCTCACACAGGTACATGGTCCCAAGGCCCCAGGCCGTCCTTGACTGCATTCCCAAGCCACAAGCAGGGAGCTGGATGGGAAGTGGAGCTGCTGGGATCAGATCTGGCACCATATGTTTGCCCAGCGCATTCAAGGCCAGGACTTTAACCGCTATGCCATCATGCCAGGCCCTCTAATGAATACTTATTTGGATGAGTGAAGGACAGTGAAGTCACTTTATGTATTTTTTAGAAAATTTTTTATGAAAGCCAGAGTGATTGAGAGAGAGAAAGAGAATCTTCTTTCTACTTGGTCACTCTTTAAATGCCCAGAGCAGCTAGAGCTGGGCCAGGAACTGAAGCCAGGAACCCAGTCCTACCTTCAGGTATCCTCTGTGGGAAGCAGGTGCCCAGGCATGTGGGCCATCCTCCGGGGCCTTCCAGCACACTAGCAGGGGGCTGGGGTAGAAGTGAAGTAGACAGGACTCATACCAGCAGCAGTGGCAACTTTGCCAAGACCCAGCGGGCTCCACTGTGTGCAAGAGTCTGCATCCAGCCCCACGAGCAGTAACTGAGGGAAAGGGACCCACAGGTGCCACTCAAGGACACAGCTCTTGCAGCATCTCACCCATTGGGCCAGCACTGGTGATGCCCCGCCTGCCAACGAGCAGCCCACCACAATCAACATCAACATTATTGTGCTCCGGAAACTCACTGGATTAATTTCACAGTGAGCCTAGGGCTGCCTGGTCCACCTAGTCCCTGGCTGGCCAGGTGAGGAGGAGACAGAGGCAATGGGTGGGCTCAAATACGGTGAGGTGACAGTCCTTGGCCACTGTCCGCCCCCAGGGACCAGCCCTCACAGCCACACCCGCCTTCCTGCTGCCTTGAGCTCCTCGGGGCTCCCCTGTCCACCTGACTTTGCAAGATGCTGTGTCCCCACCTGCTTTCCCCTCTCTCCCATGCCCTGCCATGCTCCAACACCAAGGCCTCTTCAGCAACTTCCTCCTGGTATCCTTCCCAAACCCCATCACGGTCATGCTGACTTCCACCACCACCACACCTGCCCAAGGCAAATTCTGGCTGAGCTGCAGCCATGCTGACTGCACACCCCAGCCAGCCTCCAACTGCTCCAGCAGCAGAGTCCAGAGCCTTTGACCTACCATTCTGTGGTCTGGAGCTGGTAGGTCCCCCAGCCCTCCTGTCTTCCCCAGTCCTGGCTTCAAAGCTGCCAGCAGACAGTCCATTTTTCTATTATATATTCCTGTTTCTGACTTCAGATTCTCTGCCTTCACATTTTCGCACAGGGATGACTATGATTCTCTCTTTCATGTGCAGCACATTCTTATGCATCATTTGTAGGGCTGGATGAGTGGGGACAAGTTCTTTCAATTTCTATTCACTTTGCAAGATCTTTATTTCAGCTTTTTTTTTTTTAAATATAAATGAGAGTTATGCAGGACATTGTGTTCTGGGTTGACAGTTTTTGTTTTGTTAAGACTTGGACTATATCTATCCATTCTCTCCCAGCCTGTAGGGTGTCTGAGGAGAAATCAGCTGTCAGTCTGATCAGAGATCCTGTGAGGGTATTCTGGCATTTCCCTTCTGTACATTTTAGAATCTTTTATGTTTTACTGTGGGCAGTTTTATACTATACTGTGCCATAGCAAGGTGGGCATATATGGCCTTATTTTTTGGGAGGACTGTGTATGTCTTGCACTTGTGACATTCCTTTATCCTCATTAGAGGGGATTTTCAGCTATTATTTCACTGAGGAGGCCTTCCAATCCATCCCCATTTCTCAGATTATCAATTACTCCTATGCCATGTGTGCTGGGTTGTTTAAAACTCAAAAATATTGGGCAATATTTTAAACTTCTTTTCCAGATTTTTTCCTGTTTTATTTCTTTCACTCAGCTCCCAAAAATCTGTCTTCCAATATGGAGATTCTTTCTTCTGCCTCACCAAATCTGTTAAAGGTTTCTACTGTATTTTTTTCTTAGACATATTAAGTTTTTCATTTTTATTATTTCAGCTTGATTTATCTTATTATCTGACTCGTGGGAAACTTTCATGCTTGTCATGTATGGATTTTCCTAATTCATGCATTTGCTTCTCATGGTCTTTGAGTAAGCTACGATCATTTTAAAACTCATCTTCAGGTATTTCACCAATCTTTTTATCTTCATATTCCAATACTGAAATGCTTAGAGAGTGCCCACAGTGAGAACACACCCCACAGACCATGTGTAGTGCTCTGTGTGAGCAGAAATCTCTCTGAAATGATCCACCCCAGGCCTTCATGGAAGCTCTGAAGCCAGACAGACACAGTGATTACAGATAGACCCAGCCAGACTACACAGAGAGGGCTCCTGAAGTCATAGGAAGGAGAAGACCCACTGTTAAGTCTTATGAGCCTGTTCTGTTGATGGTGAGAGCTGCGGCATTCCCAGTGCTAGCTGCCTGTTAGTGTTTGGCCTAAACAAACTGAGTATTAGGTCCCCATAAGCCAAAGGTGAAGGACATAATTCATAGGCTTAAGTGAGCAACAACATACCCCATGTTAGCCTTCCAGGCCACTGTCCAAGTCAGTGGAGTCCACAAATCTGTCCCTCAGAAAAAAAATCCCAGTCACAGTTGTGAGAGCTAGGGGAGCTGCTATTTGACTTAAGCTAGCACTTCCTCCCTGTTATTCACATGGAGGGGAGGTGATACAGGCAGTGTACTGCTGCTCATGGGTTTGGGACTGTGTGTTGCTCCCTCTTCCCTGACAACCCATGTTCCAGGTGGGGCTTAGCCCATGTAGACCACAAGATCCCCACTCAGGCTGCATCACGTTGACAGGGGCAGCTGCAGTCTCCTCTTGATGCCGATTCTGGTGCTGTACTAGCAGATCAGATGAGTACTGCCTGACTTTCCACTGCCTGGTATTGTGCTCCACAGGAGCAGAGGATGGGAAGGAATCAAGAAAGTGTGGCTGCTCCAAGCCCAGCAGTTGCTCTGATCCCACTCAGCTCTCAGGCTGGAGTAAAGCTGTGGGATTGTTCTGTAGCTAAAAATGTGTGGTTGGGCACGAACTATTCCTACCTTGTCTTGGTATGATGGTGTCTATCCACTAGTAGCTTTTGCTGCTCCATGTGCCTATCTTCACATGGAAGTTTTTGTTTTCATTTCTTTTTATCCATGGAAGTTTCTTTTTTTCCCATTTCTTTGATGAAAATTTTATCACTCAGGCCCTCAGAAATGTGGTCCTTCCTCTGTTCCTTTCCTATTGCATAGCAACTGAAGCTGCTGTGGGTATGCCCTATTCAGCCATCTTGGATACCATCTAATTTGTAACATTTTATGACTTTGACAGATGGCTAAGGTTGCTATAATTTATAGATTTTAAAACACCTTTTTTTTTTAAGAAGGGGATTATTATAAACCAGATTTAGAGAACATCGTTTAGCTTGTGTAAGACAAACTATTGGTTTCAGGCTCCATTAAAAACATCCAAAATTATGTAGAGTAGAAATTCCAATGAAACTGTTAAATACAGCCTGACAATATGATATTATATTTCTACCACTGTCTACACTTACAATGCCATGATACATTTAAATAATAGAATGTTGGACTTGTAACTGTTGCTGAAGGACTATACTTTTATAATAATATGGGGGACAATAACAGAGGGGAAGAGAATGGGGGAGGAGGAGGGGAGAGGGGATTCCTATACCTACAAAACCATATGGAAAATAACAATTAAAATAATTGGCAGAATTAATACAAAGGTTAGAAACAACAAAGCTAATTCCACTCATAAAATGATACGATTTTAAATGCAGTAAAAACTTCTTAAAAAAATCATTGTGCTGATTATAGTGGTCTTAACTACAGGCATGGATTGTAGGCACTGCTACTTAAATTAAAAAAAAAAAAGTAGCAGATACTTGAACTTCAATGCCTGCCACCTTAGGATTATCCATATCTATAAATAGTAAGTCCAAACAATAATGACTGAGAAACAGGAGAGTAGCACGAACAGACCTCTACAAAAGAGATTTAGAATACAAACAGTGGGATAATTAAAAATAATTTTCTATTAGAAAAATGAATCTTCGAAAATACCTGTTTACTATTTTTAAAAAGCAGATAGCAAGAATGTTATCTTACATTCTCTTGGATAAGTTTATAATCCAGACTTTTCATTAATACATATGCCCTTTGAATTCTCTGTATTCAATCACCCCAACACTGCTTTCTCATGCTTAGAATTAATAATGTATTTTTTTTTAATTTAAAGTGGGGAAACAACTACTTTCTGAGTGATCATATCTATGATCTTGTGATGGACTAATGAAGTAAGACTGACGGACCACAAAATGTTATATAAATTAGTCCAAATAATTCTGCAAGAGTTATGATACCCAAACCTGAAATCAGAAGAGGCCCATGTATTGCCACACAAGCTGGAAAAAAAGGAATAAATATAAAATCATTGAATTTTAAAAATTAGTACTAATAAACTATAAAATGGTAAACAATGATTTTTCTAGTGACAAAGAAGTAAATATTATTTATACAAATTCACCATTATTGGTTTAGTCAGCTAATTGTTTCCACATTACTACAGGGAAAAAAAAAATCCCACTTTGCGCAATACATTTATTGTACCAATACTAATTAAAAAAAGTGTGTTTAAAGTAAAAGGCTCCAAACAATTGGAGGCTGGATATTTTAAAAGTTCCTGTACATATACAACCAGTCCTGAAACCATATATAGTCAATAATCTTCAAACAATGTGGGGAGCACTATTACCACAATAATAAAGATTAGAATTAAAAATGAACATCTCACAACATCAAATATCAATAAATATGTGCAGAAACAGGAACTTAAATTCATTGTTAGCGGTAATGCAAAATGATGCCATAATTTTGACAAACACAATTAGATCTCTAACACAAAACCCAATATTTTTTAATCCTTGAGGTTTATCCAAATAGATTAAAAACAACATACACACAAAGCATGCCCTTGGGTACTGATTTAGCCTTGTTCATAGTCATAAAAATTAAAGGCAACCAAGATTCCCTTATTCTGTGAATGAAAAAAAATAATTTTCATTGTATCATCATAATGGAATCCTATCGCAGTGATAAGAAATAATGATCTACCTAGCCATGAAAAGATATAGAGAATATATGTCTCCTTGGACTGTAGGAAGAAATTATGCTTACCTAAAGCACAGAGAATCAGTCCAACTATAGCAAGCACAAGGCCCAGTAACTGGAATATCAATATGGCAATGGCAATGTAGGTTATCCCACAAACTGGGAGGAAAAAAAAGGAAGAAGAAAATGGTAAGAAATAATCACTCTGACCTGCATTTGCTGCACACAGTGAGCAAATATTGTCATATGATGAAAGATTGATTACAGAGTTCACTGTCAGGTAGTAACTACCTTTGCATGAATCTAAGGCTTCCTTACAATTGTCAGATGTAGATCTGTACATTCTACAGCCTTTTGTTGTCAGATATCCGAGCTGGAAGGGTAGGTTTTGGGTAAAATACCTAATAAAAACTAATAATTTGAAAGGCAGAGAGTGAGAGAAGAGAATGGGGAAGGGAGGGAGTAAGGAAAGGGAAGGAGAGGAAGTGGATGGAAGAGAAGGGGAGTGGAAGGGAGGAGGGAGAGGAAAGAGGAAAGTGAGCTCCTCTGTCTACTGGTTCACTTCCTAAATGACTCTCAGGACCTGATCTGAGCCTGGTTGAAGCCAGGAGTGTGGAACTCCAGGTGGGTCTCTGAAATGCAGGGAAGAAGCTCAAAGACTTGGGCCACACTCACCTGCGTCCCCAGGCGTATTAGCAGGGAGCTGAATCAGAGCACAGCATGTGAGACTCAGCTCAGTGCTCTGACAGTGGGTTATAGTTTAAGATGTTATTGTCACATTGCCAGTCTCTAATCAAAACCTTAAAACAAGGGCTTTTTTATTTTTTATCATACTTGTATGTTTTAAAATGTGAAGGAACCACTGTGAAGGTTTGTTAGCATAGCATTATGACTGCCTCGGGCAATTAGAAGATTTGTGGTTTTATAACAATTTTGATACCTTTCCAACATGCATAAAGTCAGAAACTTGCTCTAAAATCAAATGTTAAATATGACACTTTCAATAATTATAACAAAAACATGTTATTGATTTACTGTGAAAATGAATATACTGTTAAAATGTATAATTATGATATCCCTAACTAATTCATATCTCTTTTAACACAATATCATCAAAGCATATGAGTAACAAAAAGTATTTCCATTATTTGTCATCTACAACTCCATTTATAGAACTTTAATGCACACATTTAGCAAAAGAAGAGAAAGTGTGTGTTCAACACATTATTTCAAAAAACCAAAAACAAAGGAAGGTAATCCTTAAGAAGTCACATATACAATTTTAAATAAGATAACTGAGCTGGCATCAAATCAATCTCTAACCCACAAATTGAAAATCCAAAATCCAAACAATTTAAAACCTGAAATCTTCCACATGTCACACATGATGATAAAAAAACTTTTAAATATTTTTTAATTAAAAAATTTTAAAGTATTATATATATGGTCAGAGACACTAATACCCCACAAACTGAAAATAATAAAATATGAAATACTCCAGTCTCCAAATTTTGAGATAAATGATTCTCAATCTACACACATGAAAATAGCTAGTAAAGACAACTGACTGCTTTGAAGACATAAACTAATCTTTACGGGACAATGTGATGAACAATGAAATGAAATTTAATGCAATATCATTCATAGTTACAAAAAAATACAGAAATGTTCTCAACCAAAATACTGCTAATGAAAAAGGTCGCCCAATTTATTCTACTAAAAATACTGACCTAATTTAAGCACACGGCAGTGAGCTGCTATTAGCATCGCTGAAGAACTTACAAATAGAGAAACCCCAGAAGATGCCCTTTTTGGATATTCGCCTGCCAATAAATAAGTAAATAAACAAATAAATACGTTCAAGTATTTTCCTACATATTTTCTGTTAGTTAAGAAGTTGTAATACTTAATTTAGTCAATGAATCTATTTCACTATTACCCTGAAAAACAACGGCTGGTTTAAAACACATATTTTTCACCAAAATGTTTGCACAAATTAGTGATTACATTTCTATTATTTAAGGCCAAACATAAGAAATCTACATGTATGCATTTAATTCTCCCTATGAGTGACTCCACCTACTTTTTAACGGCCTTTATAGAATCTTCAAGATCAGAGACATTGTAGTTCTCTCTCACCAGTCCTTCATTTGCTGCACTGAATCTGGTTCACAGTCCACATGATTATTCTTTCAAGCTGTCTTTCTACAACATCTCTTTTGACAACCTTTACCCACGCCATCAAAAACTCCAGATGATAGGACCTGGTTGCTAACTTTCAATAGTAACCTGAATGCAAAAGGCCTAAACACTAAGGGACCATACTATTATGATAAAACTGGGAAGGGGGAATGAATCCCTGTATCTACAAAACTGCATTATGGAAAACAAAACAAAACAAAACTGAATGGATTACAAACTAGACCTATTTGCTGCCTACCTGAAACATAGCTAACCAACTCAGACTGAAACTGAAAAGATGGAAAAAGATATTCCATGCCAACAGAAAAGAAAAATGAGCAGATGTAGCCATTCTAATATCAGACAAAACAAACGTCACAACAAAAACTGTTAAGAGAAAGAATGGCATTACATAGTAATTAAGGGATCAAGTTAATAAGAATTTGTGACTATAGTTAATACATATGCACCCAATGACAGGACATCTATCTGAAACAATCCTTTGGATTTAAAGGGAGCATAAACCCCAATACAATAATAATGGTGACTTCAACACGTCATTTACATCAATGAGGACAGCAACTAGACACAAAATCAACAAAGAAGCCACAAAACTAATCTGTACTAGAGACTAAATGGATCTCTGCAAAAGTCAACCTATTTTTTAGGTAAAAAGTACTATTTTGGAAAAACGTAAAGCAAACCCATTTTCTTATTATCTATTTTTAAAGCTCCAAATGCAAATAAATCTTTCAAATTTCTCCTCCTTGACATTGCCTGGTCTGTATTATTCTCATAAAGCAACAGGAGCATTACATAATCCAAGTCACAGTCTTTCTTTACTTTTCATTCCATGTACTATCAACTCGGATTTCACACTCATACTCTCATCCACCAAATGCCACTGCCATTTCAGACAGTTTTGGCTAACATTCATTTCCATTCCAATATCTTAGTCATTGAAACATACTTCTGTGTACTGAAAGATAGATTTAATGGCAGTACTAAAGGTATAAATGAGGTTAAAAAGTTCACAGAATAATGGAATTAAAAGATAAACTTGGAGCAAAAAAAAATCTGAAATTCATGTATAGATTATTTTCATTATAAATATTTTCTATAAATTTTGCAGGGCCCCTGGTATTTCCATTTCCTGATCCACAGAACTTGTCAATATCACTTTATATGGCAAAAGAGTATTAGACAATAAGCCAAAACTACGCCAAAGAAATTAGAAAGTAGAAATTTATCAAGGATTACAGAGGTGGGTTCTAACTGCAACCTTTGCAATAGAGAAGTAGGATGAAAGTTGACACTGACAAAAGGAGAAAACACAATAGAAAACATTGGGACAGATATCGGAGTTAAGCTTACGAGAGAAATGAAGAGGACCACTCGCAAATGCCAGCCTGAACAGTGTGATTCTGATGACATACTGATTTCAGGTTTACACTATTCAGAGCAGCACATTTCTATTATTTTAAGCTATCTAATTTGTTGTAACAAACAAAACACAGAAACAAGACAAAGACACACTCTCCTTTGAATTCCCTTTTCTGTATCCTGCGTTCTCTCACAGAACACCTCACACCTTACCTGGTATAGCAAGGCCCACTCCAATAATGACAAATATGGTAAGTAGTATTCCAGGAATAAGTAACAGATAAACCGCAAGACTGATTTTATATTTCAATGCTTAAAAACAAAACAAAGAGTTACAAGAAGTCAACCACAGATGAAACTGATTGTTTTTTAACTTGTAAGGTTAAAAGACTCAAATGGATTACTCACTGTAAGTGAATAACTTCAAAGGAACAACTCTTTGTTTTCATCAAGTCATCTCACATCTTTTTCATAAGGCAAAGGGCAAATATATATATTTGGCTATTGAATGCACAGGTGTCATTTTGTGTCACTATACTTAAAGAATGAAGTCACATACAATAAGGTTTCTCAACAGATGCACCACTAGCATTTGGAGACAGGTAAACTTGGCCTGGGTGGCTGCAGTGTTATAGAATGGTGAGTAGCATCCTTGGCCTGCATGTCTTTCAGAAATTGCCAATAGAAAAATCACCCCAAACTGACAACACAACATGAACATAAATAATGCTGATGGGGAAAAACAGTTAATTGAGAAGTTTCAAGAATGAGATATATGTTACACCTTATATGAAATTAACAAAAGATCGGATATGAGGTTATCTTGCTTTAAAAAAGAGGTTATATAAACATCACACAAATAGCATACATTTGCTTAAGGCTTTGAAGGATTTAATGAAAACAAACTGAAAAAGATTAAATGACATTTATCATTTATGTATTATTGGTTTTGATGCTGGTTGTCATGACATGTGCTAGTTTATTCCCTAAAAAAAAAAAAAAGCCCATACATAACAGGTAGGATAAAGTATTATTTCTATTTTTCTATTTTGGTTAAAATTAACTTTCATAAGGATATTGCAATCTTATTGTAAATATCGTCTGAGTAGCAGAGAAAAACAGATTATGTGGCTTCATTTGGCTGTGTGTCAGCCACTTGTGGATGTTTTCCATACCAGTAATCAATACCTGGCTGTCATAAAGGGGAAGACACTTTAAACATTATATATATATATATGAGATTTAATTTTCTTTCAATAAGATGAAAGATTAAACATAAAAAGATCAAAAATATCCAAATGATCATGATAAAATCTAGGTTTAAGATATCCTACAGTCACCTGAAGAGGTTTTTGGCTATGTACCTGGCCATACCTTATATAATAACCTCAGTTTTGGTCCTTTTAGGGGAGACTGTAGTAATATCCAATCCATAAAATGAGTAACTGAGATCTACAAGAATTAGGACAAATCCTCAGTAACCTCAATGTATCCTATGGCAACTTCCCAGCCTTGGAAGTTACCTTACAAAACCAGATCCCTACCCAATTATGAGGCAGAAAGTTCTCACTGCTTTCCCTTTCATCAGCTCCAACACTGACTGGAATGAAATTGAATGTATAGGTCAGAAAAGCCACCAATACATAAAAAGGAACTTCCTATAGACATGCCGTGTTTCCCACTGTAATCCCGGGTATATTATTACCTAGATAGAATTTGGAAGTTCTACAGAAAAGCACCTGTTTATTAAGTTTAAAGAGATATTACCGGTATTTATATGAGTTTAAGCAGGAATTACTGGTATTTACATGAGTTTAAGGGGGAATTTACTAGAACTTATACCATTGATGCTTAACAACTTAAAACAAATTAAAACTACCAGCTTAGAAATTAAAATGAAACTTCAGAAAAAGGTAGGGCAATATATGCTCCTAAGGAACTACTGATTCAAATCGCATATGACTATTGGTCACAGCAATATTGTTCCTAATATGACTTAAGTGATATACAAAAGTTACTTTTAGAAATAGCGATTTTCAGTAAAATATCAAAATCAGAAATACTTACTTACAACACAAAACTGTCCCCAGAATAAAATTACAGACAAAATTGGGAAAGCAGTGAAGAGCACACGTTCATTTTGAGAAATCCATAAAACTGAAGAGAAAGAAAAAAAAATCACAATTAATATTTACTATATTCATTTTAAATCTTGCCCCAAGGCTCTATAACATACATTTATTGTGAAGATGGTAAGTAAAAATAATGCACTATAGCTATTATTTACCCACACATACACATTTAAGTTACTTTCAAAGATCTTTTACATCAGACAGATTTACCTTTTGAGTCTATGTTTACTATAAACCTTTGGAAGTACCTTCATATGAAACAAAAAAAAAGTTACTTAAGTGTTTTTCATTACATTTGTCCTGAAATATTTTATAAGAGAAGGTGTGCACTAGCTGAAAATAGGGCTCTGTGGCCACCCTTTTAAGGTTCAAAATTCAACTCAAAATTGGGAAAAATCTCAGGGTTTGTCTGAAATGATGCTATCAATTTCCTAAGTAGTATTGTTAGATGCTGTAAACCCTTGCTATCCATGGGAACAGTGAGATAATTAAGCTCTGAATTTCTAACACATTAAGAAAATTAAGCTTACAATGGCCTAACTATCATATCAGATATATAAAACAACCAACAAAACTTGCTGGAGGAATTATATAGCATATCCATACCAGGGTCCATTTGTCAGATATGCAACAAGTCAACTACCTATACCAAGTATGTGAACAAAAGTAATTTATTTTTAATATTCAAGGCAACAAGTCAAGTAGCTATCACACAATTCCCAGACTTCCCAAGAAATCCAGGCATTGAAGTTGATAGGTTATAGTAAGGGATTAACCTTATTAATTTGAGAGTGGTCTTCTGATTGGTCCACACTGCAGGTGGCCACCGTGATTTACAGAAGATGCAGTGAAGGAAAAGCAGGCTTGAAGTTCCTACAAAACATGTCAAATAGAGACGAGTGGTAGGATAATAACCAGTCATATGACAAACTCCGAGTCTGGCACCCAGAGTTCTGCAGCACCACCTTGAGGTTTGTGCCATTCCTTAAATTTAGTGAAAGATCAACAAAAAGCAAAAAAGCTTTTTAAAAGTTAAAAAAGAAAAGCTTTTAGACAGACTAACAGAAAAAAACCTCAAATAAATAGAGAGGTAAAGTAGATGTTACACCACAGCACCGAAATAAAAAGGATCATGAGAACTAAGATAAAAACTATAGTCAATAAATGCAGAATTTTGAAGAAATGGATAAATTCCTGTATAAATATATATGTAACTTACTATGATTAAATCAAGGTATAGAAAAATCTAAATCTGAATAGACTCATAATAAGCAATGATTATGAAGCAACAATTAGACTTCCATCAAGGAAAATCCAAGACATGACGGTTTCACTATTGAATTTTATGAAACATTTAACAAAACAACTCCTATATTTTTCAAACCATTCATAAATACTGAATAGGATGAAACTCTTCCCAACTCTTTTTTTGAGATACCGCTCTCATACCCCAAATGAAAAAAGATAAAACACAAGAAGAAAAGTATAGAACTACATCCACAATGAACATAGATGCAAAACTTCTCAACAAAATACTAACAAACCAGATTCAAACTTACATCAGAAAGATTATACATCAACACAATGTGGGACTTACCACAGAGGTGAAAGGGTAGTTCAACATCCACAATCAACAAATATTATGAATCGCATCAACATAATGAACAAAAATGATATCGTCATCCGAATGGATGCAGAGGAACATTTCATAAGATTCATGATAAGAGCCCTCCACAAATTAGATAGAGATTGAACATATCTGAAAATCATAAAGGCTGTACATTTCAAATAGACAATATCATGCTAGATAGGGAAAAGCTGAAAACACTTTCCCTCAGATCTGCAACAAGATGTCTATTTTCTTTTTTTTTTAAAGATTTATTTTTATTTTTATTTTTTTTTATTGGAAAGGTGGATATACAGAGAGGAGAGAGAGAGGAAGATCTTCCGTCCAATGATTCACTCCCCAAGTGACTGCAACAGCCAATACTATGCCGATCCGAAGCCAGGAGCCTCTTCTGGGTCTCCCACGTGGGTGCAGGGTCCCAAAGCCTTGGGCCGTCCTCGACTGCTTTCCCGGGCCACAGGCAGGGAGCTGGAAGGGAAGCGGGGCTGCCGGGATAGAACCGGTGCCCATATGGGATCCTGGGCGTGCAAGGCGAGGACCTTAACCACTTGCACCACCACGCCAGGCCCCAAGAATGTCTATTTTCACTGCTTTTATTTAGTAAAGTTCAGGAATATCAACAAAAGTAGCTAGGGAAGAAAAAGAAATGAAGGGCATGAACACTGGAAAGGAGGAAGTCAAAAATATCCAGAATTGCAAATGACATAATTGTGCACATGAAAAAGTATAAACACCATCGCCACCCTTCAAAGAAAATAGAACTAATAAGCCAGTTCAATAAAGTTGCCAGAAGAATCAATAAGGACACATTAAAATGGAAGGGTAATCTCAGGTTATCCTTGTTCATAGATTAGAAGATTAGCAAACAAACAAAAAACCCTAAAATTCCTATGAAATCTTTAATGACCCAAGATAGCCAAAGCAGTCCGCGGGTGGGGACAAGCCGAGGCATAATAGTACCTGACTTCCAAGCAAATGAGAATATAGTCTGATCAACTCCTGATGTTAGTCTTGTAAGACTTTGAGTGGGAAGCCCAGGCATACCATGACCAGAGCCAGTAAATGTTGTTTCAAGTTGCTGTGTATGGTTATTTGTTATCCCACACTAGAGAACCAGTACAAGAATCTTTATCACCTTTATGTTATTGTTACAAGTACAGTAGCGTGTTTACATTACAAGTGGCAAATGTGTTGAAATGGAAGTGATCACTTGAAACAAAACTAGTATCTTACAGACTTACAGAAAAGTAAATGATAACAATTCATATTTGTATCATTAACAAAAGAAATAGGAATGATAAGATTTCATAACAAAAATTTTGCACTTTGGGTATTTATTACAGAAGTATTTCATGAGAATCACATATCATGGTGTTATACTTGGTTTTGAAGATAATAAGATCAAGATTAAAATCCTGGCTATGACTTCAACTGTGAATACCAGATTCTTCCCCATTCAGCAAGCAGTTCCTCTGAGGGTTACAGGACGCAGAATGCTTGATATATATGACATAGTGTGAAAATAAATATTAGGATTTTTCACTCTTATTTATATTGTGGTCATTTACCTGAAGAGAACATTTTATTCATCGCTGAGTCCACACTGCCAAGTATAGTCCCTAACACACGGCAAGTGCTCTCTACATCTTTGGTAAGTGGGAAAACACTGTGATGGAGAAAGTATCTTCTTTCTATTTTTGAAACAATTAGCACCATAAAAGTTTCTTATCCAAGTTTTCAGGAGCTAGAAAATGGCATTTATACTTAAGCAGGTCTCTAAATTCAACTCCTATGTTTCTTGAATGGTAATACGCATTAGCACCTGTCACATCTTACAGTGCATTTTATAGTGTGTCTACATATTCAGCCCTAATGCCTCAAAACAGAGAAGTATAGTCAACTTGACTTTCTTACATCTACATTTTCAAATAAATTATAACATATTTGAAATAGTTTCCAGTGCCTCAATCCCAAAGTATACATGATAGGAAACATTTTTACATTAAATAGGCATTCTATAATAAGAATTATGTTTCATTTTATCTTTTTGTACAGAGGAATTTTGCTGTTGTTTCATGTATTTATAAGTCAAAACTGGTTCTAAATAGCAGTGCCAGATGCTGATAAAGCTAAGAAAAAAAACCAGATCATTGTTTTGTTGTTGATGAAAATGTAAACTGAAAAAAAAGCCACTGTGGAAAACATTTTGGAAGCTCTTTAAAAATTAAGCATATATTTGCTGTGTGACTCTGTTAAATCATACTTCTGGGAATCTACCCCAAAGAAATGGAAATTTTGTCTATCTTCACGCCAATTGTTCACAGTTTTTTAAATCTTGTTATAGCCCCAAAGTATAAAAGTTAACTTCAAGTAGTCAAAGACTATATAGTTTCCTTTGCATATATCATTGCCACAATGACAAAAATATAGCTGTGAAGGAATAATTATTGTTAGTTATATTAGGGGTGGTTGAGACAGAGGTTTGACTATGAAAGGTTAGCTTGAATAAGATGTTTTGGTGCTGGCATAGCTCTATATCCAGATTAAGATTTAAAATATATTGGGGGGCCTGGTGTGGTAGCCTAGTGGCTAAAGTCCTTGCCTTGCATGTACACAGTATATGTCAAGTCTTTGGATCTTCCTGTGAGATAAAGAACTATCTCAAAAATCAAAATGAATGCAAAGCCAAATGTCTTAAACTTCTGGTTGTATTTTTCTGCACCTTTTGTAATTAAATAAAGCTTTCATATCTTAATGGTCCAAGACAGTAAGTTTATCTTGGCTTGGTGCAACAGCTCAATGGTTACATCCTCATCTTGAAAGGACCAGGATCCCATATTGGTGCTGGTTCATGTCCTGGCTGCTCCACTTCCCATCCAGTTCCCTGTTTGTGACATGAAAAAGCAATTGAGGATGGCCCAAAGCTTGGAGCTTTGCACCCATGTGTAAGACCCCAAAGAAGCCCTGGTTCTTCACTTTGGATCCACTCAGCTCTTGCCATTATTGCCACTTGGGAATAAACCAGTGGATGAAAGATCTCTCTCTCTCTTTCGGTAACCCTGCCTTTCCAATGTAAATAAATAAATCCTTTAATTTTTTTTGTTTTGTTTTAGTGAAGCAATTCATTCTTAGTGTAAGAACAAGCATTTTATAGCAAAATGAAAAAAGTAAAGTTAGAGGAGGCCAAGATGGATCCAACTGAATCATTCTGATCTTATCTAGAGCAGAGGTTCTCAAAGTAAGGTCAGCCCTGAGATCAGGAATTCTGATAATTTTGACCACAGCTTTCAAAACAGAAAGTAAGAATGTATTTTGTATGTGGTTGAAGAAGTAGGCTAGCACAGCAAGAAACAATAAAGATTTTCTTTTCTTCATCTAACTTAACTACAATTCACCAATCAAAGTTGTGGAAGAAGAAAATAAAAGGCAGTTATTGTCCTATAATCAAGGTTGAATTGAATTAAATTGAATTCCTTTGTCTCCCATATCTTGACCAAGGAAATAAACACCAAATTAAAACAAGGCATGGAAAACTGCTAGGAATAATCTATGATAATCTGATTGCTAACCTCCTGAGTTTCCTTTCCAGAGAAAACATATCTGAAACTTGTCAACCCTAGATCAACATGAAAGGCCAGAAAAAATAAATTGGAAAAGGGCTGCAAACTTTAACGTATGAAAAAAGTACTTTTGATGACAGAACAGAACAGAAATAGAGTAGATGACTTTTGCCACAAACATCCAAATAAAACAGTTCCCAATAGGCAAGACCCACAATGTGACTCATCTCATGATCTTAAAGATGATCAACATTTCATCACTTTTATTCTCAATGCTCTGTGTTTTAATTCAAATGAGCTCTTAGGCTCATTTCTTTTTTCCTAATAGGATCAATCTGTGGCTGGACAAACAAAAAAGAAGGATGTATTTAGAACTTCTGCTCTCTGCTGTTTTCTGTTATGATAGCAGAATAACGGAGATCAAGTGATTTGCAAAAGAAAATAGATTCCTATTTTAATCCATGGTTCTGAAAATGGGCAAGTCCCCAGATATGGCTCCCGCATCTGCTCAGCACCTGATGAGACTCTTGTGTTGTAAGTGGGCAGAAGGGCAAGAGAGGACACACGTGTGTGAGAGAGGATAGGCTAAAACATGAGGATAGACTCATGGTGCCTCCCACTCTCCAGATAACTGACTCACCCCTGCTAGAATTAACCAATTCCCTCGAAAGAAAGGACCCATTCACCTCTTAAAGCCCTCACCACAACACTTCCACAGTGGTAAACAAATTTCAATTTGTGTTTTGGAGAGCAAAAAAACCATAGTCAAGCCATAAAACTTACCAGAGCGATGTTTCAGTTCTACAATCGTTTCCCCTTCTCTGCTTAACTCAGAAAATTCACATGTATAGTTTCCCAAGAGAGCTTCATGCTTCTCCAAGTGCAAAGAGGCATCTCCTTTGAGTAAATTCATCAGTTCAACTTTTGCACTTGTAAAGTTAAAGTAATACCGGGAAATATTTAGAAAACCATCATAGAAGAAAATCACACTTCCATTATATTTCCATTTTACAAACACTTCACTAAACTTTTGTGCCTCCACATTTGTAACAAAACATGGGATAACAGCAGTTTTATTACATCGAGTGAGTGTTACATCTTTGATTTTTTTAAATAGCATCTGAAAAGAACCTGTAAAAGAAAAAGAAAAAAAAGTTTGACTATAAAATTCTATATTATGAGATCTTAGGGTAGGTCACAAATTCTTAAGACGAAGAGCAATACTTCAGTTGTTCCCTTACACAATCAGTGCAACAACAGGGAACTGGCAAGGTGAAAAACAGCAATTATTTGGTACTAACATGAACGGTTGGTTGCCAACACTACATTTTTCTCTGCATTCACTGTCAGTAATTCAAAGCATACATTTACATTCCAGGTATCTTTGAAATAAAGCCAGCAGTGAAGGTGATACCGGCCTTGGAAAATCTAAAGGAATCATCATTGTCCAGTGATATATGTACACGAAATATTGTAACAAAAAAAATCTGAAGACACAAACTATTCAGTCTTAATATCTACATATTAAATAATACTTGTTAAACTCATAGGAAATTTATATCTCTATGCTGTAATAAAAAGAAAAGTCAGGTTCTACTATATTTTAAATATAAAGTAAATCAGATAAATAAAATTACATTGTTCCACTAGAATGAACTATCTTAAAATACTATCGAGAAAAAATTTCCTACAGCTATTTTGTCACTATAAATTATAGAGAATACATATTTCATATTACAAGTCTTAAAAAGAGTATTTATGAGTGACTAGCATTCTTTATTTTCACATTTCATTAAAGCTACAAAACAGCAATTTCAAAATATTTATGATAAGTATCCCTGCCTCCAAGAAACTGTAAGCCATTTAAACACTAATTGAAACTAAGAACAGCTGCTACTAAGTAAGGTATATTATACCAACAATTTTAAACAGGGCAAATTATCAAATGCTACCTTTTGAAAGAGAGATAAGGAAATAAATGAAAGCAGCATTTAACTAAAGCATCCAAGAAAATGAAAAAACTGTATTTGCTTTCCATACTGTTCAGCCATTCATGAACTATTTTATGACTTTTCTCTCAAAAAGCAATATACTAACAACTAATAATAAAACATCAACTTTGTAAATAGTTTTAGGAAATCCTGTTTGTTCACTGGCAGTGTTTAAGCCCAGCGTGTCATATAAGCACCCAGTGGAGCCCTAGCAGCTCTTCCTCCATCCTGCTTCTTGTTAACGTGCCCAGGAAAGCAGCCTAAGACCATCAAGTGCTTGGCTCTTGCTGCTCCATGGGAGACCTAGATGGGTTTCTAGACTCCTGGTTTTCGCCTGGCCTAGTCCCAGCTGTTTCAGCCTTTGCAGAATGTCCAGAGGATGGAAGATACCTCTGTGTCTCTCTCGGTCAGTCTCACTCTCTTTCTCCCTCTGTGTGTGTGTTTCTGCCTCTGTCTATATATCTCACGTTTAAATAAGTAAACAAATCTTTTAAAAGAACAGGAGGATCTTCAAAAAGCCTAAATAGAAATTCTCTCTCTGTTACTTTTTGTTACATAGTCTTAAAAGCTACTAAACTTTCCATTCCTAGGTTTATTCTTAAACAGAACCAAAAACTATTATTGAGTTTCAGTGCAGAACTGGTGAGCACCAAAAGAGAAAATCTGAATAAAGAAGTGTGCAAGAAGCAGTTTTGCATCATAAAAATGTAGAGATTCTATAAAGTGTAGACCACATGGCATGTTAATGTATGTTCTTGAAAATGTTCTTACTAGGAGTTTGAAAATGAACCAGGCTTGTGAGTTATCCATAGTTCACCTTTTCTCAGTTCTCTATGGTTCTTGCCATTTCAATATTAGAAAACTACTGGCAAAACTTGGACTTCAAGTTTCATTTTCCAAAATTCTATAGGTATAAATCATTAGCCCTGGAAGAGAAGCTTTGAAGAAGACAGACCACACTCACAGACATGTTGTAGAAACTATGAAGAAGGTTAAGTGTGGTGAAAGATTTTGAAATGGACAAAAAGATTAGCAAGTGTTTTTTTCAAGGAAGTTATGGTCATTGTCTAGCAGATTCTTCGGAGTTACCCGATTTTATCAGAATCTGTGCCTCCCAATGGCAATCAAAAGACTCTTACAAATTTTGTAAGTTATTGGATACTGAAAATGCCATTGATTACCATCTATAAAAACATGTAGTTTTTTTTTCTGCAATTGATTTCTGCCTGATGTAAAAATAGGATTCTGAAAAAAATGTTTTATTGCCATGAGGATATCAATCAATTTTGCATCTGCCTACAAATTCATTTCAGCACTTCTGATTATCAATATCTGTACCTTCAATGTGCTTTCAAAGAGTTTGTCCATAACACTTTATTACTTACTTGGTGAATGAAATAAAATATTTGACACATGTTCATTTTATGTTTGCACGAGCCATGGCTTTCTTTTAAAACCTATCCTTTAATAAAAGAGGTAAGGGTAAAGAGCTCAACTTTACCATCAAATGTTTTCAATAATGCTGTAGGTAAATTAGAAACATTCCACAATTTCTAAAGTTATCTTTAGAAAATGAGTTTACCAGAGGATATACAAAGCACAAATTGCACGATATTTTTTACTGATAAAAACATACCAATCCGGCCCAGCGCAGTAGCCTAGCAGCTGAAATCCTCACCTTGCATGTGCTGGGATCCGATATGGACATCAGTTCTAATCCTGGTGCCCCTCTTCCTATCCAGCTCCCTGATTATGACCTGGGAAAGCAGTAGAAGATGGGCCAAAGCCTTGGGATCCTGCACCCATGTCGGAGACCCATAAGAAGATCTGGGCTCCTGACTTTGGATCAGCACAGCTCAGACTGTTGAGGCCACTTGGGGAGTGAATCAACAGAGGGAAGATCTTCCTCTCTGTCTCTCCTCCTCTCTGTATATCTTCCTTTCCAATAAAAATAAATAAATGTTCAAAAAAAACATATTAAGAGCTAAAGAAATGTAAGTGGTAGATGCAGTAAAACAAAATTTAAAGTAAAAATTACCTTCCTAAATCATAATATGAGTAAGTTTTGCACTAATAAATGACATAGGGAATCAAAATATATTTTTAAGGTATACATACAGATATTTAAGAGTAAAAATGTCTTATCTGGACAGTTTTTTCCTTATGATTATTGATCTCTGACAAAAATCAAAAAGTGAAGACTTCTAATAAAAGGAAGCATAGATCATTAATATGAATAAGGTAATTCCAAATAAATACACTTAGTCTAAATCAAATATGAGTCAGTAAATATAATCCAGAATGACACTGGAGTTACAGATTAGTTGTTAGATAAAAAGGAAAAATTGTTTCAAAAGAAAAACACAAAGGAATCTTACATCAATGGACATAGCCTCCAACACAAATCTCAGAACACAGCCCAGAAAACAGTTACATAGTTCAATCCACGGTAATCAAAATACACAAATCTAGCTCAGAACTTTCAAAAAATGCAACCAACATGTGTTGAGAATGGTTTGATGTGAAATATAGTGACAAGCTATGTAGATACTATGGGGTGAAAATGCAGGAATTATTCGGCCCGAGCTTGGGATTCTTATATTGGGTATTTAAGCATTTTGTTTGGCGCAAGGTCTGGACTAACCTCTCTGTATGGACACAGTGCTCTTTGATAAAAGTGAAAAGATTGATTTTTACCCAACCTTTTCAGGAAGTCTCGAGGAAAACAAAGTGGTTTCCAACATATCACTATTTCTTATATTTGGGAAGTGAATTTTCTAGAGAATACAGAAAGTACAAATTTGTCATGATATAATTTGTCATGATAAAAACATTTTGTAGCTAAAGTCATTTAAGAAGCAACATGAAGTTAAACTTAAAATTTCCCTTGACAAACCATAATTTGAATGAGTTCTACACTCATAATATGGAGAGACTAAAAGCATTTATCTAAGAGTAACCGGTTTTGTAGATTTTAATTGACTCTTTTTGGGTCTTTTTTCTGCTTTTTGTGTTTTGTTGTTGTTAGTGTTACAGATTTCTAAGGAACTGTTTTCATCAGGAAACAACAGAAGGATATCATCGTTCCATGCAAATCTTTTCTCCTTTTCAAAAACTTTGATATCACTCTTCTTTTCCTCTTATGCTAAGTCTTCAAAGGAAATGTCACTTCCTTCATAATTCAAAACTGAGTCCTTCAGAGAAGTGAGAAGCTTCCAATACTTCCTACCTGCAAATTTACCTGAAACAGCAAATCTCTCCAGCTGTTCTCCCTCCTTCTTCCTTTTCATAAATGAACCCCTTCACCTGAGAGATCCCACACCCATCAAACTCCTCAAGGACTCTCCAGGGCTATCGGCCTCCCTATCACTATATTCCATTTAAAAGTATTTCTTCTTTATTGTTGAAAATTCTTGAAAATGTGTCAACCCAAAAAGAAAAATAAATCCTTGTCTCTGTCTCACTTTTCCCCAGCATCTTTTCTTTCTAATTTTACATGCCACATTTCTTCACCCCCACAACACGCCAAAAGTTTCTGACACCTGATACTATTCTTGCATTCAGATCACTTCACTACTACAGCCCCTGTCAAAGTTACCAACGAACACGTGGGAAAATTCAAATCCATATGGCTCAGCTCTCATCTTGACTTTACGGCTGAGGCAGTGAGCAACAACTTTCTTGTTTTTGTGCCCTGGCCTCTATAGTATCTTTTGATTGCAAATTATCTCCTGATTTGCCCACTCTATCTTAGATTTTTTTTTCTTGTTTGTTTTATTAGTATGTTATATTTGTATATTCTGTGTGGTAAAATGAAATATTTTTACATACAGAGTGTAACAAACCAAACCAGGTAACTGGTTTGATTCTATTTGGAATCTACAGCTCCTTACTTAGATTTTCACACAGTGTAGAACACATGATTGTGAACTAAAATTATTCAAACTTTTACTTACTCTATCTTGGTACTCATAGTTTTTAACATCTAGTAGTTACTGCTATAACTTGGTATAACATGACTTTAACATATAAAATTGAATATGCAGGATTTGTATTTTAAGTGTCTGTCTTACTCATCATAAATCCAGTTCCATTCAGTTTGCTGCAGGTGTCAGGATTTTATTCATCCTTTTTATCTTT